TTAAGCCTAGGCTATTTCTTATTGATCCTTGATCAACCCTCTTCTCCCTCTATTCGTCTTCTAACGTCTCCGCCGAAAAAAAATGATGGATGCGAAATGCGAATGTAATAATCGCTGTTCTTCCATTACTAGGAAGAAGAATTTTACTATGGTTTCCTTCGATGTGAATTTTCTAGTCTTTGGGCCATTTCTGCGCATGGCATGATTTTACTTCAGAGACAGAGAAATAGCAATAATATGAATTAAATGACCATGATTTGAGTCATAAACTACTCTCCAAGTTGTGATAAACAAGGAAACTTGACAATTTAATGAAAAGACGGTTCGTAACGTGGCTGGCCATAACGATCTGTTTCAGTGTTTTCTTCCCCAGGAAAAGATGTCCGCCAGATAAAGATATAGTTTTGGTTGCAGTGTTGGGAGGAAAGAGTTGCGCATTCTGGAGCAAACATTTCCATGAGCCGAAATTTCAATTAATTTTAGAGAGGGGATTTGTATAAAAACCCTGTGATATGTTTGTTAACCTCATACAAATATTCAAATCTATCGCTCTCTTCAAAAGAACAGAGGTTGCGAAAAAACCAAGAGCGGAAACAAGTACTGAGACCATTTCCTATTTATTTTCTCTTTTAGATATGCAAGGAAGAGCGAGGTTCCTATGTGTTTTCATGGTTCTTTGAGGAATGAAGAATATTCAATTTTTATTCATGAAGAATTTAATATTGAGTGTGACTTGTATCCAGGCAAGACAAGCTTTTGGTAGAGCGTTCAAACATACGGCGTGTTCCGTTTCTGCTTAAGAGCCGACCGCTCCAAAGGCCGAATTCTTCAGACAACCATGCCTCATTCCAAGACTTTTTCAGCCTACTTTGTGCCATTGCAGGGTTGATAGTGCTTAGGCTTAAGGTTGCGAGTTGCGCAGACAAGGAAATAGAAGATGGACAAGACAGAACGATAATCACAATGTCCGCCTACTAAGAAGTAACCATCCCATGGAACATAGTGAAGGTCAGGATTGGTACAGTATTTTCTACCTTTTTTATGTTTTTTTTTTCCTTTTTAGTTCGGAGAGATAAACATTAAATAGTTGCAAGTCGGCAAAGCGGTTCTCTTCTAATATCTTCTACTGATTACGTAAAGCCGTCCACAGCAAAGAAGCCCTGTTACTTTCTTGCATGAGACTTAAAAGAAACAGTCTCTGAACCTTTTCTTGTTAACTTTTTCCTTTGTAGGTAGGAGATGAAGGAAATAAAAAAAAAGTCGCCAGCCGGTACCAAGAAATCCTTGTGAAGGGGTAAACAACGCTTAATGGATTTTTATTGTTCTTGATTTTTCGTTGTACTTTTGCTAACGTAAATGCAATTTGAAGACGATCATTTCTGGAGAGAAACGGTTGAAAAGAGGTAGTTAATATCATCAATTATTTATTCAAGGATTCTTTAAAGAAAACTGACGTGGAGTCCATCGACCCACTAATTGATATGTCACAGTGTATAATTAGGCACCTTTCTATTGATTGTAAAAGCTGGTTAGAACTTTTCTAGGCTGTAAGGGGGCATAAACACAGTTCAACACAAACCTTGTATCCAATCTGGTCAATGCTTTTAAACAGATTTGTTTTTGTAATCGGCCTAATCATGTCGCTAGTTGCAGCTGTCAGTTGCTTAACCTCAGGCTAAACTGAAAACTGGTGAGATGTATATGATTGATTGCCTTTGGCTTGACGCCGAAATAAAAGGATTTTTTTCGTGCATGAAGTTCACGTTGTTCTGCACGATTGCACTTCAAAGTACTTTAAAGTACTTTAAAGTACTCACCTAGATATTTACTCGTGTTTCCATAAAGAAAATTCTTTGAAAACTTCCCAGATGATTGAGAAATAAGATGAGATGATTTCTAGCTATTTCTGAGGGAAATTTAATCCAATCATTGTGCAAGTAGTCCACATGCAGCTGAGTGGATTGGGTCATGAGTCAGTTAGCACGAATAAAAGAAAACAGTTCTGACCTATCAAGCGAATCAGGAAATGATCAAATATTGTGGCAACGAGCTTTTAGAAAGTTCTCGTGGCTTTTTTGCGTCATTTTGATTGATGAGAAAACAGCAGTGTCAGTATTTACTTCAAGTAGCGATGCCGTGAGGTCATCAAAAAGATAAAATGTCTGAAAAGTCAAAGACATTTTCTTAGAAAATCTCTTTTGATAAGGTCTTACAAATGATGAGGTTTCCACATGATATCACTACGAAGAGATAGTAGTTTACCCCAGCATAAGGTTTATTCCGACATTGTTAGCCTGTTCTAGAAAATTTCTTGGACAACTATGACAACAATTCGAGAATTTTCCAGTCTTCTTCCCGTAAGGAGGGGGATGAATAGGGGTATGCAAATCCGCCGATCCGCTACGATTTGATGACCAAATCCGTCAGTCCGTTAAAAAAAATTGTTAAATCCGAATCCGTTCGCTACTTGCCTCGTAAAAAGGTGAAAACACACCTTGAGCTGTTCTGTGTTAGCTCGGCAATGGCTTTCCCATGGAGCGAATTGCAATCGGTGGGGTATAGTGTCACGGATAAGGCCCGGGGGGATTCCCATATGAAACAAACGTGTATGCTCGTCGGAAATTTTAAATTTAACCCCTAAAGGAGACCATCTGGGCGTGGCTCAAGCAAATTTTGACCCCTAAAAGAGACCGCTCATGTTCATGCATTGTCTCCTTGGCACTTGGTAAAATAGAAAACTTGTTAATGTTGAGGTAATACGGTAAACAAAACAAGTTAAAAAGAAAATTTTACTTCTGTTTCTCTTCGCGTAATTCTGTATTTCTTCGCGGAACCCTAAACGAGACCTTGGTGGCTTAAAAT